TTGATAATTGTTTGCACTTCACTCAGTGATAGACAATTCATCATGAAATTGTTGACTGCAAACCAACTAAATTCAAATCAGTTCTGCTATTGAACCACATTTGAAAACAGCAATAATCTTCGCTCCGAATACAATATGGTATGAATATACGTTTTCTGAAACTCAAAACGACATCGATTAATCAAACTTAGGAATATTTACTTTCCGATCTTATGGATGAATTCAAGAATTCAACCAGTTAGTTTCACTTCAAGAATAGTGACAAAAAATCACGCCGTTACCTGCTGAATACAATCAGTGAATGAGTGCTAAGGCTCAGAAATGTATGAACTTGATATGTTCGCAAACAAAGCATTTACAAACCGACTGTATCGCTTGTTTTATGGCATGAATCATAAAGAAACTGTAAAACGTACGAAAACATTGACTATGATAAATGACTCTGCAAACAAACATAAATAGTTAGTAAATATTCTAGAATACCAATTTGTAAACTGAACTGAATCAGTTCTTTAACAAGTATATTAGCATTCAATCGTTTCTTGTTTGAGTCATTTTTGCGTTTTACTTTCGAAACATACCATTCATACAGAGGTGTGTTCTCAGATGAGTTTCATTCTGGCGGATTGAGATCATTGTTCTCATTGTGTTGGGTGTTTTTATGATCTATATGGTTGAACACGGCGATCCCGAGATCCTGATTAACAAGTACCGTGGAGGTCTACTGTCTTAGACATCGAAAATGATCTCCGAGCTGATAAAACCTATATCTTTGCTGGGCTATAAAAAAATGAGTGTTCTATATCTTCACGTGCAGTTACCAGAATGTTTGAATAAATTTTGCCGATTTGTTAATTGTCATCATCTAATAGCTGAGCTTATTGTGTCAGCAACTTGATTTTCATTCCGGAACGGACAGTACTGTTGGAGATTTTCCGCAATTCACTTTCATTACAGGTTCTACGAATATGCGTGATCATAACACGATAATAATCTTATTATTGTTATTAGCCGCATTGCTTGATGCTATCGAAAGGTAATAATTACTATTCATCTATGCAGATGAGAGCACTTTTCATTATTCGATGACGCTTTGATGAGAATCTCGATCGTAATGAATTCAATTTGTTCAAATATCCTATCGCAATCACTACTTAGGACGCCCAGAGATAATCAATTCGACGAGATTTCAATTGCGACCATCCAAAAATTTTTTCTGTCAAGTTTAGACAATTTCTGAACATATTTTCACTCTGTTGAAGTAATCAAATGAGCTTTATGCCTTGAAAATGATGCATTAGCAATCAGTCACACATGTAGATATAGGTGATAACTTTATTGGATTCATTGCTCATTGTGAATATGTTGATAGCGATTTATTCCACTGAACAGGTTTCCGCTGAGAAGAAAACGTGATATTCGAGTTCTACGCAGTACTGACTACAAAACCAAAGTAATCGCTGAATATGTACGACAAAAGTATAGCCACTGCAAGGCAGAGAAGACAGAGCTGTCGAAAGGATTCTCGATAACACTCAGTAATTATGGAGATACACAATATGCTGGACCGATCACGATTGGTACCCCGCCACAGAAATTTCAGGTCTCCTCTAAAAATCCTTCATCAAATCATGTGATTTGTACCGATTGCTGCTGAAATGCACCAGATTACACACCTCTCACAAAATTGTTTACTCATTTCATCAGTTGCTCATTTGCAAATAGCTGTTTAATCAGTTGCTCATTTAATTAGTCGCTTGAAAGATTTGTTTTGGAAAAAAAAAACGCAGCAAATACATTTCGTTGCTTTCACCGAATAGAATGTTCTGTAGTTCTCCAAGAAGGCAGAGTTGATCTTTATGAATGGTGTTGGTCAATTACAGATTTCCTAGCATGAGAAATACATTGTTACAGCTTTGCATATTATCGGAATTCGAAAATCACATTTACTTCCGTTTTCAAAAACAACATTGTTCTGTACACAACTTCATTTCCGGGCGAAAAACACTTTTCAATAATAGTTCAATAGGTGCTTATAAACTAGTAATATATGTATGTATGCACGCAGATGAAAGCTTTTATGTGGTATATTTGTTGAGAGCAAAGCTCAAGTTGGAACAGAATGAAACAAAGTGTTGAATAGCACTTGAAAGAGTTTTTGCCGTTCGATAGCTAGGGTCCATTTGAAATGAATGCATAAAATCATAGGAAAAGTTTTCAGTTGTATTCGGTGAATGTATTTGGGAACAATACAAGACAAAAAACGTACATAGTGCAATGAATATTGCTGTAAAAGTGATGGAAAAATTTTTATTTCTAGTGAAAATTCGCAGAATTAAAATGATGAACATCTGAACAGACGGGTAATGTGCACGAATCGCTCTTTGTTAACTGAAGTAATCTTTAGAGGATGAATTCATGACTTCTATTGCGATAAATCGTCGCGCTTCAGGTACTATTCGATACAGGCTCGTCGAATTTATGGGTACCATGCTCGGACTGTTCAATATTCGACAGTGCATGCCAGAATCACGCTCAATTCAGTTGTTTCTTCTCGTTCACATGCATGCCTTCGTTCAAGCATTTTCATATTGATTACGGTAACGGTTCAGTTGGTGGTCACGTTGTGCACGATCGAGTTTGCGTGAGTCTTTGAACATAAAGCATTCAATTTGTATTCACCGCTGGTATTTGCTTATGGCTGTTTGAATTCCAAATGTAAAAAAGCTTATCGACAAAGAATTAATTGACTTCTCATGAAATATGAAAAAAAAANAAAAAAAAACGAACGTATAACTGCTTTCCAATGAAACTTTCCATAATTTGAAATGATTCCTTCATTTTTTAAAGCCAAAATAAGAATATACAGTATACCGACTGTCACAACATTTCAATGGATCAAACTAACAATACAGTTTTTCAGTTTGGTGATAAACCAACACCTGGATATTGTACGAATCCTTTCCAAGGATTTGCATGCGCTACACATGAGCCAGGCGATACATTCACGGTATGTTCACATGATATCTTTAGGCGATACAGATATAGGTGCCAGATGAATATGAAGCAACTGGATATCATAACGCTGCGTGTTGCTACTCGTATTTCATAAATGATATTTCATTTTGAAGGTGATATATCTCAATGATGTGGTGTGAAACTTACCGATATGATTTGCCATTAGACTGCTGAATTTCAGGATGCACCATTCGATGGGGTGCTGGGTATGGCATGGGATTCAATTTCGGTGAATTCAATTGCGCAACCAATGCATCAAATCTTCAGAAAAGAATCGTGTAAGCAGAAATTGTTCGCATTCTGGTTGAATATGAATGAGGATTCGGAATATGGCGGTGAGCTGACATTGTGTGGCATCGATGAGACGCGATACAAGGTGTGAAACATGCTGACGAAATTCATTTCTTAAGAATTCCTTAGTATTGAATAGCGTTTCCGAAAAATTCAGAAAAGTACCCCGGAGAAAAATTCTTTCCCACTAATGAATTGTTAGTTATAATATGCGAGCATGTGATTATCCGGTTCAATGGCAATCCTACAAATAGATTACTTCGCCTGATCCAAACGGCTCAGACTGACTGCTGCCTAAAACTCAATGAAACTATATCGTTGGCTAATGTAGTCACAGTTTAGTAAGATAATAACTTACCATATGGTTCATATCTGATATTGAAGGGTGATTTGACATGGGTACCGTTAATAGCTGAAACGTACTGGCAAATCCGCATGGACGAGGCGAGAGTTGGCAATCAAGCGATTTCTGGATCAGTTGCAGGAGTGGTCGATACGGGTACTTCGCTGATTGTTGGGCCGACTGAGAGTGTTAATAAGGTAAATTTTTCCATGATAACCTGCGTAAGTTATGCTATCGTTTTATGGATTCGTTGTTGCTGATAGGATTTCAACTGTACANAGCAGAATTTTTCATTGAAGACACACAGACAGTGTTTGAAATTCAATAATTTCAGATAATCAAAGCTTTGGGGGCAACGCAAGACGATGATCAAATCATGGTGGACTGTGATAGAACTGGTTCACTGCCGAATATCACATTCGTGTTGGCCGGGAAACAGTTCAAGCTGACACCGTACGATTATTTATTCCAGGTGAACGAATGACTGACTCACTGACAGATTGTTTAGCACGGAAAACATTCCAAAACATAGTGAATAATGTTATGCAATAAGTGAAAAACTCAACAGTTTTGTTCAATTCCATAAAATATTGGATTTTTTGTTTGAAAAAGATAGGGACAATTCATCTGAACAACATAAACCAAGTCATCATATACGCTGTAAGTATGCAGAAAACATGAATGCATACAAATTCCTTGTTAACTATTCAAACATTCCAACACAATTACTATTCAACAAGAATTTCAGTTCGAAGACGGCAGCTGTGTACTGGGTATACAATCAGGTGATGTTCCACCGCCAATGGGTCCATTTTGGGTCTTGGGTGATGTTTTTCTTGGCAAGTATTATTCCGTTTTTGATCACCAAAATAGACGAGTGGGATTTGCGACTGCGGTTTGAACGGCAATGTGATACGTCAAGTTTGAAAATATTTCAGATAGCTACGGACTGTGTAGTTGTTTAATCTCAATGTACTTATAAGCCTCAACAAACCCAAAATGTGAATAAATATGAGAATGTAACAGATGAATCAGATGCTGAAACAACTGCAAACCATATACATTACAGAGTTTGCCCTCGACTAACACTCATGACTGTACAAGTACAAATGAATGGATGAAATGAGACAGAAGGGAAATACAATCGTAATAAACATACAACAAATTTCTAGATGACTTTGAAATACAAATATACAACTTTAAAATACAAATAATGATATGTGCAATCGATCATTTTGTCCACGAAACTTTCGGTATGTCGTTGAATTCCGTCAATTCACTCATTTGCGCATTGAATCGTTCCACCTTCTCACGGTGACTTACCGCCGCTTTTTTCGTTAGTCGTTCAAACTGGAAGTTAGAAAGCTTATTTATTTATTCACATGTCGAAATGAAATCGTTAGCAAAATAACACCCTTACAATAATTTCGATTACAACTGGATGATCCTCAATGATTTTTCACTCACACTTTTACAATACAACACAATAATCAAACTAATAATTGCACAACACAGTTATATTCTGATCACTAGACAAAATCAGCCGAATCATATCAAACCGCAAAGCACATTAATCTTCGTGTACAGTCAAACATTAAACTACAGGTTCATGCCATCAGTCAAAAATGAAGTGGAGTGAAATGAATGTGAACAGATTCCGCAACCACAACTGTGAAAAAGCGTAAATGATGGGTCTTGCTCATTGGTTGAGCTCACTACAGTCTGTTCGTAAAATCTGTTCGTTGAAGAATAAAAACTAAACCATACCTGATTCTGTTTTCGTCGTTTCTCAAACGCCAATTCAGCTGCAGTCTTGTGTGTGGCTGAAGCGTCACCATCTCGACGGATTGTCAAGTCAATATTCCTCAAATCCAATCGTTCTTTTTTCTGAAGCACAATAAAAAATTAAGAAAAGAGGATTTTTTGATAAACTGAACTGGCACTGAACTGATGATCACAGCACAAATCATTATAATACCACTCATGTAAAGTAGTCTTCACATAGAAGACTGAAGTACTACATAACTGAAAGTGTTGGTTGAAAACGTGTATTCGTGCTAAGGTATTTTGTATCACAGGCTACTGGAATGTTCAGTTATGGTAATTTGCTGTAAACATGAGGCGAAAAATACTATAGATGCCAACGAATTTAAAGAAGGCACAAATAATACAGAAAACGATACGTAGTATAACCTTCTTCTTGAAAACTTTTCCTCCTTTCTTCAACTTCAGACCACCTTTGATAACTTCTTCTTTAGAAACGTCGGACATGATCACTGGAATAAAACGCATTCAATACAATAAAGCAAATGAATAAAGGTTTCGCAACAAACATACGAAATACAGAGAGTTCACAACAGGGGTACGACAAACACGCCCCATAGGACAATACATTTCGCGAGATATAGTGCCTCAGTCACTTGGGTTTCCGAAAATCACAATATTTCTACGGAATACCTTTAACCGTAAGGATAAAAATCCTCACTATTTCAATCAAATTAAAATCACGGTCGATCTATGCATTTTAAGTAACAGAAAGATAAGTTGCCAAATATACCCGGTAACAATCTGACAAAGATATGAATTGCAAATTCTAGGTAATTATGCTCGTTCAGATAATCATAAATTCACATATTTCGACGTCAACCTGAAAACACATTCAAATTTCTTTTCTGCGTTCGATCAAACAGAACATTTAGATTCAGAATATTGTAACTCTTTCCGAGCAATTTGGCTTAGTTGAGGAGAAGTAGGTATTTTATTAACACTATCTCAAGGCAATGCGGATGCCACATTCAAGCCTACCGTCTTCTCAAGTTTGCCCAGCAACATATTAAAGTTTACACATGGTTCGATGCCATCCATCCAGACACCATGTCGTTTATTGGATCCAATTGAGCAATCGCGTTGACCTGAAATCGAAAATATTAAAAGAGAAATGAGAAATTTTTAATAAATCGAACAATAATCGCAACCAAATTGT